ATGCTATGAAATTTGAATGATTATTTCTAGGAAAAGAAATACAAATGACTAGTAACATTTTTTTTAAATGTTCAATCTTACTTTTAATCAAAAAAATGTGTAGCAAGGAAATATACCATTGTGTGTCTTGGTAGACAGCCCAAAATTATATATGTGTAAGTACGTGCAATACTGACAACAAATCATAAAATAGGCCCTCTCCAAATTGTTGGTGGATGTAGAATTTGGTACAATATTTCTGGAAGGAAATTTAGCAATATATGTCAAAATTCTTTAAAGTGTTCATACTTTTTGGTTCAGAAATATTACCACTAGGAATATATTCTAAGGAAATTAAGAGGAACAGGGTCCACAGTGTCTTCCAAAAGATTACCAGTTATTTAAAATGCTAGGAAAATAAAAATAACCTAACCTTCTAACTATGTGAATAGTAAGCATATTATTAAACAGCAATTAAAATATTTGTAAAAGTTTGTCTTAATGATATAGGGAAAGGTTTATGAAATAAGTTTATGTGAAGCTAAACAAATGCTAAATATTAGAGCATAATCTAAACTAAAAAACCCCACCAAAATAGCAAAAACAAGTAGCAGAAATAAGTGTACAAAATATGTTAATAGCTATTTACTCTATTAAGTGTAAAAATGAATGTGTTGAGTTTTCTTCTACTTTTCTGCATTCTATACGTAGCTATAAAGGACAATTATTATATCCATAAACTCACGTGCACAAGAAGTTATATTTTTTAAAAAGTTACATGGAATAATGATTACTGTCCAGAGAAATTAATCTAAACCACCATGTGCTCTCTTACCTGGTCTCTTAGCTTTCACCTCCCATTTTCCCTAAAGCCTCTGGCTCTCTCCCTCACTCCCGCTTAGACTCACCTCTCCAGCCACCGCATGTAACCACACATCAGCTAGTCCCTGTCTCTGCTGTTCCTCCCCCTTGGCGGACTGCTTTCTTCTCTGATTCTGACCTTGGTCCACCCCGTGTTCTGACTGCTTGGTGCCTCTTGCTCCCAGGTGTGTGAAGGGCCTGAGGCCATCGGTGAGTCCTGGTCAGTGTCTGAAGTTTAGAGTGCGGCGGTGCTGGCAGCAGCCTCAATGGGCAAGCCAATCTGCAGCTCGGCCACAGTGCATTTCAGGGTCCAGAATTCTATAGTGTCCATACTAGTTTTTTATTGCTGTGTGACAAATTACCACAAATTTAACAGTTTAAGACGACATATATTTAGTATCTCAGCATTTCAATGGGTCAGGAGTCCTCTACTCTGGGTCCCTCAAGGCTACAATCAAGGTGTCACCCGGAATGCATTTCTTTTGGGAGCTTGGGGTCCTCTTCTGAGTTCATGTGGCTATTGGGAGATCTCAGGTATATGACTGACATTTCCCATCATGCTAGCTGTGGATTGGAGACTGCTCTCAGGTACTTGCCATGCTGCTCTTTCCATAGGTCGTCTTACAACATGGGAGTTTGCTTCATCCAGGCCAGCAAGATAGTCTGTCTGCCTTTAAAGTACTCACTGGGCTAAGTCAGGCCGACACAGGATAATCTCCCTTTTGATGAACTCAAAGTCAACTGGTTAGAGACCCAATAACATCTGGAAAATCTCTTTTGCCAAATAAAGTAATGTTACCACAGAGGTGATATCCCGTCGGGGAAGGGATGATACAAAGATGTGGGTTACTGGAGATCATCTTAGAATTCTGTCAACCATAAGTGTCCCTTCCTGGCTGTCAAAGACGAGACTCAAGTTCAGTCTTCTGCACATAGGCTGTGTTGAGAGCCTTTGAATTTTATACAACTCCTTCATACTTACTATTTCATTTACCATAGATTATCAAGATATATGCTCCCATCTCCAATTTACCAGTGAGGAAACTAGAGGACAGAGAGCTTAAAAAGAAGTCCAAGGTCACATAACTAGAAAATAGAGCTTGAGACCCAGCTCCTCTGACTCTAAATAGTATGCTCTTTTCTCTTACATCACTCTTCTGGAGCAACCATTGAGACCTGAGCTCAGTTTGGAGCCTGACTTAATTAGGGAGAAAGTCACCTCTCACTGCACCTGTGTCTGCAGTACAACTTAGAACTTATAAACATTAGAGCCAGACTGCCTGGGTTCAAATTCTGGCCCCAACATTTATAAGCAGTACAGTCCTGTGAAGATTACTTACTTTTTCAGTTCCTCAATGCTCTTACCTCAAATATGGGAATAATAAAGGTATAGGTCTAATTGAGTTGTTGTATACATTAAATGCCAGAAAAGTACTTGGCACATTGAAGCACTACATTGGTCTTGGCTGTTATTATTATTGATCTGATTATTATATTTTGACTAATATAGAGTTCAGTTACTATTCTCCTTTTAGCTGACCCATCATCTCATTTTTCTGGGCTTTAGCTTATCTGAAAATTTTAATATTGTCAAAAATAGAATTTATAATTGAAAGGATACATTTAAAAAACGTTAAGAGTGTCTAATCCACAGGGACCAAAGGATTTGACATGTAAAAGAAAACTATGTTTTTTGGGTTTATTTTTTAATGAGGGAAACATAGCGGATTCAATTGACTATAGAAACTGGAGAGTCAAAACACAGAAACATTTTTAGCATCAGATCATTTTTTTAGATGGGCTTTAATCCGTGTTATGACCAAGAGAAAAAGAGATGTAAACAAATAAGAGCAGAAAGCTGAGGGAAAGACATAGAGGATGAAAGGAACCTGAAAGAAAGGTAGAAAGGATGAGATGAAAGGGAATAGAACAGTATAAAGGAAAAGAGAAAGAAACCGAGGTAAGCACAGAGAAAAGGCTACTGCGAGGTAGAGAGGGCAGGTAGGGAAAAGGGGGAAAAGCTGAGCCAATACAAAGACCAATGGGTAGAGGTCACAATTAAGAAAATTGTGGCTCGGTAGAAAAATAACAAATTTTGTAATGTTTAGAGTTTCCCCTTAACATTATGAAAATTTTACCTTTGGGAGTTTTTAGACAGAGACACGTGAATATAGGTGATTTTACTATTAAATGAGAGGTTAGAGAGTATATAAGTGACATTTAGGACTAGTTTTTGGATGTATTCAAAGCTAGCTGAGTGAACTTTTCAAAGTCTTTAAGCCTTAATTTTCTAAGTCCATATTATAATGGCAATAAAAATAGTACATACTATTGTCAGTGTATAGACAGGTGTGTGTCTGTGTTTATCTATATTTTTATATCTATATCTACCTATCTATCATCTATCATCTATGATCTTAGCACAATGCCCCACACATGATAAAATCTAAATAAATATAAGCTATCATTAAGTGTATTCTCTTTACAACTTTTGAATGATGCTCCCAGAACAGCAGAACTTCCTTTTATCTCTGTAGACATAATATTTTCACCCATGCTTGTAGGCAAAGAATGGTGGCACTCCCATAGATGCCACTTTTCATTCTTAACTGTAGGCTAAGCATGTGACATATAGTACAAAATCATGACTGTGGCCCACCAATTTCTGAATGATCCTCTAACAGTTCTATTTCTAAGCCTTTATAATGGAGCTTCTCCTGCATCCAGTATTAGCAAACCCAGTCCTCAAATTGTTCACTCTATAGCATGGATATTTCCTCACTCAGAAATTAATTTCCTCAAATCAGCTTGAAAATTCTATTGTCAAAAGGCATGTGTTTCCTAAGGGAGAGTCACTCATTTCTTTTCTTATTGAGAGGAGATGCAGATGCACCTGAAAAAAAAAAAAAAGATTTTCCTCCATAGGCTGCAAAGATGCAGCTGTCAAAAGTAATCACCGCATCAGAAGAATTGAGTAGAGTACAAGTGTCCTTGGCTGCTTTATAAGAAAAACAGGAAACTAGCTTATTTATGCTAAACGGAGAAACAGACTGAGGAAGGCCGATGGAGCTTACAATTCTGCTACTTAGGTCGTTGTCCTCACTGTGGCTCCACGCAAGCCAACGCCAAACTTACCTAAAGGACTCTGCTTGTGCTGCCCTTCCTATCTCATTCATTTACTGTCCTCCTTCCTCGTCTCATTTCACTCATTCATTCAGCAAGAACTTATTGATCCGCTTCTATCTATAACTGCCTGGTCTGAGAGGATTTACAATCTGGTAGAGGCGCTAAAATAACATGAGGACATAATTTTCTCCCCAAGGAAATGTCGCCTAATTGTTCTAATCCATAGTCTCTTTTAGCTAGTGTTTTGATCTCTGATAGAATTTTATAGTATTTACTAACTGGCAAAAAGCCTGGGTGACTCTTAATTCCCCAAATAACCTTCAGTTCTTTAAAGAGAGGGGCCCTGACTCAAGCAGCTGCTACCCTGTCCTGAGCAGTATCTGGCTCCACTCCATCCAACTATGGAATCTCACCTTGTGGTCTTCATCCAAGCCAAGCTTGTCTTCCTCTTGGTTGGGACAACTTGCTCTTTCTTCCTCTGTGTTCTCACTCAGATTTGTGGGGTTAATGAAATCTTAATTATGTTTTTAAGACACAGAAGGGAATCTTCCTATGGAATAGTTTTTTAGACACTGTCCAGACTCCTACCTAAAGCCCTTATATATGGCTGCTGAATCTATAAACGCACAATGTCTTAAACAAAATGCACACAGTGTCTATAACATTCCATTATTTGCTAATATTACTTAAAATATATTATTTTTTCTATACATTTTATTTTCTCATCAGCTCATAGGATTCTTCTGTCCAATCAGACAGAAGGAGCCATGAACAAAAAACATTATCTGCATCCCCTGGTCACAGCGCCTGGACCACTGTTGAATGTGGTAGCTGTCGACAAACACAAATTAAGTACTACTTGAAATTCAATAAATAATGAGAGATCGGTAGAGTCATTACAGAAAGTTTGCTTTAACAGCCTTCTCTTTGAAGTACAGAACTTCTGTAGAAATATTATTCTCCAACGGTATAAACATGTCTCACTGATATGGCAGATTTACTTTCCAAATAATTCTAACGTTTCAGCTCTTTACCTGAGTCTGCCATCCTCTGCTGCAGCACCTCCTGGTATAATCTTCGTAATAAATATGCCAGGGTCATCTCCAATATGGGGATTATCTGTCCCTCCAGCAATACTGAATCCCAGGCCAGAATTCCCCTGTAGAAACAATAAGCAGATATTAAATCATGTGTCTGTCACCTAAACCTAGTTCCCCTTGCACTCTGTGTTATCATCTTACTACTTAAATGGAAATCAGGTGATAACAGTCCTGTGTGCAAAGCTATAAAGCTCAGTGTCAGCGGACAAAGAAGGTCAGGAAAAACACTCAAGTTTGTCCCTGCACTGCAAGCATGCAAGGGCCTTATATTTTTGCTTTTAAGAAATGCTTCCTTTAATAGAGCAAATAAAATGATCATTTTTAAAGTGGAAAATAAAAGCTTACAAATTGTGTTGTATAAAAAATACAAAAAATAATTACTGTCAATTGTAAAAAAAATATAGATTAACATGAAAAAAGAATGGAAGGAAATGAATTACATGAAAATATTTGATTTGGTAGAATTTTAGGTGTTTTTATTTACTATTTTCATTATTGTTGTTCTGATAATGTTTATCCATTAAATAATTGTGTTTCTCTGTAACAAGCAACTTTGACTTTTGAAGTCAGAGTCCTGTCTGAAGTTATAATAAATGTAATGTACTTTTCAGTTATAAATACATTTTAATTTGCAGTAGATGTAGAAAAGGCATGCATTAATGCTGCAGCAGTTATATTCGGATAATTTACATTGTAATAAAGCTTTCATCCTTAGTGTACAGATAACCTTTTGAAATTTGTATGTAAGGCAATTAAAGTCTCCCCCAAATTCAGAAATTATCTTACTTAATATATTTCTTATTTACATATTCTCTCTTATATATATATATATATATCTTTATTAGTTTCAGAGAGAGGAAGGGAGAGGGAGAGAGAGAGATAGAAACATCAATGATGACTCATTGATCAGCTGCCTCTTGCACGCTCCCTACTAGGGAATGAACCCGAAACCCAGGCATGTATGTGTCCTGACTGAGAATCGAATGGCGATTGTCTGGGTCATAGGTCAATGCTCAACCACTGAGCCACACCGGCCGGGCTTTACATATTCTCTTAATATCTATCTCCACTGCTACATTATATTTACATATTATATTTTGATTTTTTTTTTCTAATTTGCATTATATTTTAAATTGTTTCCATACAGCTAGGTAGTCTTTATAATTACCTATTTTATTGTTATTTTTTATAATTACCCATTTTAAATGACTAAATAATTTTTCAACAAGGTCAGATACCATCATTTATTTAAACAGTCCCCTGTTACTGGATATTTAATTTCTCTATATACTCTATGACAAATATAGCTTACTAAATTTACAATCACTTGATTAAGTTCTGCTCTTGGGTAAAAAGAGACAAGGACTACGAATTTAGTAGCTAATGCACAAAAATTAATTAGGGTGCACAATTAGTCAAAGAGTTCAACATTAAGATAAGGTCAGCTATAAATCGCAATATACCATTGCAAATGTCAAAGTAATGTTTAGCCATTTCTATGGATGGAATTAATAAAACTCTAAATTCTGGAGGGTTGTTTTCACAATTGTACATTTATCTCAAAAGGTTTAAATTGATAATTCAACCACGGTAACTAAAATCCCTTTTCTTTTTACTTCTAACATTTCCTGAATTTTGTTTGTTCTTTGAAAAATTCCAAAGTTCACTGAACAGAGATATTACTTGGGAGCAGTCATGTAATCTTGAATTTAATATTTATTAAATGCCAGCTCTGTGCCTGGCACTGGACTAAGCCCTGGAGCTGCAGCACTGAGTGACAATTGATGAGCACATGAAAGGGAAGTACAAAGCACAGGAGTGGCTAACAGGAGAACCAAATGTAGAGACTTTTCCTGAAGGCGAATAGCAGTCAGTTACTTTTAAGGGGGTTGATGCGAGAGCTGGGAAGGAGGAGATAATATTCCAGGCAGATGGAAGAACCTATGCAAAACCCCGAGGTGAGCAAGTGGATGCCACCTCCAAGAAACACACAATAAGAGCAAAGAAAGGAAGGAGAATCAGATTAGATGAGTCTTTTTATCTAGATATTCTCCTGAGCAGAATGTATATAAATCTGTTTTTAAGTACCTATTGACAGTAGATGACTGTATCAGTACTGGATGAGTATCTCTTACGTGACTGTCTTGAAGCTAAAGCTACAGGGATTAAGACAAGATGACTTTTGCCTTCATGAAATTCAAGGCAAAGCAGAAAAGGCAGTGACAGTCTGGCATCTGGTGATCAACTACATTGTCACGTAGCCACCAAGACAGCATTTAGTTGATTTAGACAGTTTATCGAAGATCTAGGGATTTTGGAAGGAAAGGAAGAGAAGATGAATATCTTCAATATAATTTGGGTCTAGCTCTAAGAACATCGACAGGAGTATGTTGGTCTTACTAGGGTTGGCACCTTAGGGTTAATAATTTCCTGATTAATTGGAGTAGGGAAGAAGGCAAGCAGAGATTGGGAGATGCTCAGATGCTTTCTCCTGACAATATCAATATTTTTGGAGAGAACATTCAAAACTTTGTCATTTGATGAAGATATTCATGATCTAGTTCTTAACCTATTTTCTTTATTCTTAGTTTTGCACTTTCACCCCCTAGAACCCTGAACTGAACCACTCCCTCTTTCCTGTCTAATACAGACTGTAACTTCTCTCTGGGCGCTTATGCATGCTGTTCTCTCTACCAGAAACTTCCCATCTTCCCCTTGACTGGCCCATGTCTTCGCATTTTCTAAGATAGGGATCAGATGGTGTCAGTTCCAGAAAATATTTAATGATGATCCCCAAATCCCTTTCTCTGGGCAAGTCATTCCTCTTTTGAGTTTATGTAGATTTCTAAGCTTATCTATGTAATACACTGTGTTATTTTGAAGTTATATGTTTATGAGTCTATCTTTCCTTCAAACTGAGCTTGCAGAAGGCAGACACTGTGTTCATAGTTGTTTCTAGGTGTCTTTTTTGGTACATAGTATTGTTAAATAAATATTTGATGAATGAGATAAAAGACAAATAAACTTACTGAGAATATTCAAACTCTTAACTGGAAGACTCAGAAAGAACACAATAAATGTCCATAATGTGTTAAGGGATGTAATATAGAGATAGGAGCAATTTTGTTCTCTGTGGCTACAACAAGAAAAATTGAAAGCCCAGGTATTCAAATTCTGGCTTAACTGAAGGATGACAAGACAGAGCTGTCCAAACTGGGGATAGGCTGTTTTGGAAGAGAGGGAAGGCTCCTCACTCACTGGGCAGCTGGCTAGTCACTGGACATGAGGGACCCAAGCATCTACTGAGAGGTCCAACTGGTTACTTTTAAAGAATTCTTCTGGTTCTCTGGCTAGATTTGTAGAAAAGCTGTTTTTGCCAACAAAGAAAAAGGAATGCACTAGGAACCTTTAGAGGGGGAGGTGGATCACTGTTGCAGTTTTAAAATTTATTCTGTGAATCAAATTATCTTCAAAATAATGGCTTTGGTGACAATGCAACAACATTTAACCTCTGTGTTTAGACTTGACGGAGAATACGATGGCTCTGGCANCAACATTTAACCTCTGTGTTTAGACTTGACGGAGAATACGATGGCTCTGGGATTGACTAATATACCTTGATTTGCCCTCAAACCCAATCTGAAGAAAAAGAAAAAAAGGAACAAGGAGTCCACAATGAAAAGAGGTAGGTAGAGACAGGGTGTAACTAGACCTGTGTTTCTGGCCCCAAGGATTCCCAAAAGCTTTTGCATTTCAATTAAAGCCAGTCTGCCAGCTGGGCCTGGCCAGTCACCAAGGTTCTTTAGAAAAGGTTCATCTGAATTCAACTAAGGAAATTATTTAAAGTACTTTCCCATCTCCCCCATTTGTTCTCTCCCAGCCTTCCCTTTCTGGTCTCTGCTACCAGCCAGCGGCATTCAGTGGAGAGAGGGACAGATTAAAAGCGGCAGTGAAATTACCTCCTGCTGATCTATGGCTGAATCACTCCAGTCCCCTGACAATAATCCCAGAGCCAGCCAGCTGCAGGGGCAGACCCCTGAACCTCTCTCTTCTGAGCAGCAATCTCTCCATGTGAACAGGCATGCCCCTGGCTGACACCCTTAGATCCTGAAAATTGTGACTAATTAACCAAGTGTTGATACTTGACCCACTCAATGGAAACTGCTAGGTGGCATGCTGGTGAGGGCAGCCCCTGTACAGAGTTCTGGGTGGGCTGCTGTTCCCTTGCAGTAGGGTGGATTCTGTGACTGATGAACGTAGTTAGCATGGAGCATTCTTCCTCCTAATTCCCAGTCTTCCACATTTGCTGACTTTTGCCCAGGAGCACAAGTCCATTGCCTAGCCAAATGATATTTCCTCTTTTCTGCACCATACTCCATCCCTCTCAGAAAAATAATCAGCAAAAAGGAAGGGCACTTTGCCACTTAACTGATGATTGCAAATATAAATACAATATCCTCGGAAAAGCTCCTCTTTCATTAAAAGTGTGTTCTCCAAATGAAAATTACAGCCCCAAATGGGGTTATAAAAAAGAAAAGCAAAACCAATGATATTACAATCATATGCATTTATAGAATGTTCTATTGATTAAGAATTTTTTGAATTTTACAAGTTGTTACTAATTTAAAATACTGTTTAATGTGATCATTCATTTCTAGAAATTTATCCTAAAGAAATCATCAGAGATGTGTGCAAAGATGTGTGTGCAAAGTGTTGCCCCAGTATTATGTTTCTGATATGAAAAACATAAAACAATTCACAACTGCAAAAGTTCTCAGTCTAGAAATAAGACATGCTCATTGTCACACATAACATTTAGGAGGCCCCAAATTTTGCTATATTAAGTTTTATTTTTCTGGAAGGTGCTAAGTAGAGAAGCTATCAGGCAATCTGCATTTGCAGATTGTTAACTGTAGGTTTGGTAGGATCATGGGCTAGGTAATTTGAAGGAAAGTGTTTTAAGGGTATGGGGGACTGTGGAGAGGAAGCAGTTGCAACAGAGGTGGAAAAAGAATGCCCGATTGCAGTAGGCCGAATTAAAGGGCGATATAGTAAAGGC